ACGACTTGCTTTGATCGTTGGCAGAATTGTCGTTAAAACCGCCTGCAAACTCCTCAGCTCATCCAATGCTGACACAATCCTTTCAGCTTAGACAGCCAACACTCACGTCAATGTCGCATGAGCGACCAAAAAAAGCGAGCGCGAGTAAACTGCGACTGCACATAATGCCCCCATCGGCACTCCTACATAGGCACATATGTAGCTATGCTTTGTCAACAATGCGTGTTGCAACCAAAAATGCACAACGCTAGCGGGTACCTAGCTGGCTGTCTAACGCCTTGCCATGCAACTTCTGGCTTGCCTTTGATGGACAGCATTAGAGAAACATTAACATTTATTAACAGCTATCATAAAAACAACATATTAGTGAAAAATTGTTAGCGTTAATGGCACTAACCACACGCACTGCCGCATGGCGTGGCGCAATGATGGACCTGTGGAATGGCAGGCAGTTTGTCGTCGATGGGGTTCATGTTGCCGCAGGCATTTTCACTTTTTGGTGATCAAATGTGCACATAGTTACATATTTATATATATATATATATGTATATATACATATTATACATACATTGCAAAAGTACAGTGTCTCCAAATGCGATCACTATGGAGGCGGCTGAGTGCCTAGAGTAGGGTGGACGCTTCTGTGAAAAACTCATAAGATTTACGAAGGGACTTTAATTTTATGCTCAATTCTATTTTTGTGGGTTGGGATCTTAAGGCTGTTATAAAATTGGCAATGCATTGGAAAGCGATGGCCTTGCGGTTTCTGCGTGTTTTTTTCACCACCTCAAATCTTGTAGCAATGCTTACGCGGAGCTCCAAGTCAGGCTGTCATATAGTTATGTAACCAAGTTAACTCGTACGCATTCCCGCTATAACTAACTAGTAGGGTCAGTATGCTACTTCAAATAGCGCTTCGGATACTTTCTTCGACTACTAAGGTTAGGTATGATTAAGACAGGTAAGGTGACAGACCCGCGAGGGCCACACGTCGACTGTTTTTATTGAACATTATATCAACACCGAACAGAATGTCCACTCCGGAGAGCTCTTTCGGGAGTTATAACAAAATACGATCCCAGGTGCTTAAACTTTAGTCTTGCGAAAGCCTAGCAGCTGAGAAAAAAGTGTTGATATGATTCCAACTCGTTGTCCTTCAAATAGTTTCGGCGATAGGCGTTGGAGACGATAAAGTCATATCTCCTGTTGGGTTGTGTTCTTTCTGGACATCTACCAGCAGGGCGAGTTGGTGCTGGGTCAGCTTAAGAATTTCTTTTGACTACCTATGGTCCATCACCGACCAGAAGCACTTTGTCAGTTTTCATGTCAGAGGTTTCGGTCAGCGCTCACTGAGTAGGCTAAAAACATAAAGGATAGGCCGCTGGTTATGAGAGGAACTCGCAAGTACCTCAGTGGAAGCGACCTCGACCTGAAATGCCGCTGTGACCTGAGACCCAAATTCAAACGTATTCCGAGTCGACAGGTTGTAGACTTTCCCTAACTACTATTGATCGCACCATAAGCGATAATGAAGGCTTAATTGCCGCTTGGCTATCAGGGTAAATAGTATTTACCGTTGAAATCGTTACTGTGCACGTAAGTGGCTAGCCGACTGCCTACTTTATGGCGGATACCGCTGTTTGAAATTTGAAGTTTACGGAGAGTTCCTGACCGAACATTGGCTTCAACGCTTCCGCTGAACTCCGACCAAGCCGTGAATATATTTACTGGAATTCATTTCCAGAGGCTTCCTAAATTCCCCTTACTCCTGGGAGGGATGTATGTAGAGAAGGATCCATTCCGATGAATTCGAAGTCACTAAAGATCATTGTGATTAAGGAGAACCCGAACGGCGCTAAGCAAAACGTTGGGTTATGGAGCAGTAGAGAGGCCGCAGTGTAGACAATTTCCTTTCTTTCCAGGATCACGCCGAACGCCTCGACCCTGACAGAGTGTAGGACACCATCGAAGGAAGGAAATTGAGCATTCGACAACTAGCAGACCAATTTGAGACTATTAAGTACCCATACCTGAGACCCAGAAACGTATGTACCCCTGACGATATGGGCCATGTCAACTGCTCAACTCAAAATATGAACAGTTAAGTGAGTGACTATAGTACTTTACGTAAATGCTTCCACATTTTGTTTTTGGCGCAAATACATACTTAAGGTATCAATTACGGACAGCTCAACCGCTTAATCATAAACAGTCTTAGGCGCTTACACTTAAAAATAAAACCCATTCATTTTGGCCAATGACCAGCAGTGCTGCGCTCAAAGCTCAAATATCACCAACGCCTGTAATGCGATATTCTCACGTTTCATTGTACATGCATAAGTAATTGTAAAGTTGTAAATTATATCAAAGTACATACATACATACATACATACATACATGATGTTGGATTGCATATTCATTGTACCTATTCGTACGTGTAGGGAGGGTCAGTCACTTGGACCATTCACATGCATTCTGCGAAAGATTGCCCAGCAAAAGACGTTCCAACTGAGTGCTCAAGGTAAGCCTAGTGGAAAGAAGGAATTGTGCGTTTATATGTATGTACTTGTGCTTACTTACATACATACTGTGATACGATTAAGTAAGCTATGGCGACGCTGTTGTGTAACTCTTGTCGATGGTGAAAACTGAAAGTGATCGCTGGTGCCATTGCCCAACATGGCGACTACATATACAAAGACAAGAACAATGTGCAGTGCTGTTGGCTAGCAGAATGTAAGAATGGTTGCACCTGAGGTCGCCAACGAAGCGCATAAGAATAATTTATGTAGGTACTTACGTACATATGTATGTATGTATGAAGTAATCGCGGTCTTATAGCGGCCCCATGAAAATGCCAGTTAGCTTAAAGGAATCGCGGAACCGCCTGGCTATTTTTTCAAACACAAAGACAATATATAATTAAGTAGTGCAAATTCTGAATGAACCCCTAAAATAGGTTCGAGTCTCCATCTAAGAACGCATGGTGCATTTTGAGAAAAGTTCTTATATTCCAGTATAAAATTTCAATGTCTCGCAGCCGATCTAAGTTGGCGAGGAGTTGCCGACAAGCTACTAGTTATTAAGTATTAAACTTACTTCCAACTACGTATTAGCCATAATTAACATCTGGTTACTCAATGGTCCACTTACTAAGTCGGAATGTGAGATTTTTCTTTGGGACAACGAGATAGCACATCTTAATTGCGGGAATATTTGGCTAGGATTGATATATTTCAACTTCAGTCAGTGGTCCTCAAGAAATTTGAAGTACGTTCGAAAAAGCCCTGCTTTAAACTTAAAATAGTAAAAGCTCCCTGTAATCATCATTGTTTTATATTCAGTAACGGCACAAAAAATTTCTCGTGGGTGTAGCGTTTTAAAGTTTTTAAAGCACAGCTTTGCTACCTACATTAGTGACGACCAGAGCGAGCTTTTACAGGACAATTCTGGCCACCGTCTTTCAACTCACCACAGTCTTTCGAAAGACAAAAGTATTTCGTAAGACAATTGTCAATTCTAGCAACTATCTCAAAGCTCTTTACTGTCTTTCGAAATGCTAATTGAAGAATTTTCTAACAAGGAGGTCTTAGCGTAATACTTTTCGCCTTTTAGCAATAAAGTTTTTAAAAATTGAATCAAATTGAAAAACACAAATGTATGTATATTTTTCTTTTGAAAACAATAAAAAGGATCTAATAAAAAGTAATAAATAACAGATAATTGAATTATGAAAAGAAAAACAAAATAAAAATAATTCAAAAATAAATAAAAATTATTTTTTTAATTGAATGAAACAGCAATACAAATTAGTTTCTTCTTCAAACAATAAAAAAAAAAAAACACAAGAACTAAATCAGAAAATAAGAAAATAGATTAAAAATTAAATTAAACTAAACAAATGTATTTTTAAAACAAAATTTAAAAACTTAAGGAAATTAAACAAAACAAGACAACAAATAAAATTAAATAAGATCCTAAAAATTAAATGGAATAAAAAAATGTATATTTATAAAATAAAATTGAACATTTAAAAGGAAATGAAATTAATAAAAGAAAAAAAAAAAAAAAAAAAAAATAAATAAAATGAGTGCCTTAAACTAAATGAAGCTAGAAAACTATCTTACTTTTTAAAACACTCAAATTAAATTAAAATTAAAAAAGAGAAAAATTAATTTAAAAATGAAAATATTAAATAATTCTCAAAAATTAAAATAATAACATCTGCATATTAAAAGAAAATTAAATTGAGAAAAATAAGTTCAACTAAAAAAGAAAAAAAAAAATACATAAAATAAGTTCCAAAAATTAAATGAAATTAAAAAATTTATATTTCTCTTTATCGAGTGAGCAAAGCACAGATGAGCCATATATGGAAAATACTACTACTCAGAGACCACTCCTCAGAGAACTCCTCATTTGCGCATTTTTTCTAGGCGCATGGCATTTGCTCAAAAATTGCTAAGTGAGTAAATTTTGCCTGTTTCCTGTGACGGTTTTCGACCAGAACGAAGTTTGTTGTTACAAAAAAAAAAACTTAAAACGCAGCTTTAACACATAGGTTATTGTTGAAGGGGGTCTATCGAATCTATTCAAAAGGGTAGTATGGTTCTTTTTTTTACTATTCGAACGTTGTAATGGAAAGTGCTGAACAACTTTTGAAAAATTTGGAGAACCTAAACTCAAAAATGAATTAATACAAATTTTGATAGTTCAGTAAACAGTTCGGGAATTTCGGCGCTTTTACATTTTAATGGAATGCCTTCATTATAAAAATTTAAGGTTTAAAGGCTAAAAAAATTGTTTAAACAAAATAAACAATTATTCAATTTTTCATTATTTTTCCGCATTGGAGGGCAACACGAAAGTATACATACATTAGCAGGTACTTCATTCACAAACAAACATATTAACAAATATACTTTTTTTTATAAAAAAAAACCAAAAAAAAAAATCTTAAAGAATGTACCAAAACGAAAATCTTAATTTGTCTCACTCACCTCTTGAGAAAATCTGTATACTGCGCTTGCCGTATGAGGCCAGTACGCATCATTATCGTTTGGAAGCATTGTCGTTCTATGGCCCATAATTTGCATTCCGTTATAGCAGTAATGGTCGCTGTACGCTGGCAGTTATATAATATGGCCAATTCACCCAAAACCTTTGCGCCGGATAGTGTCGACAGGTATTTGCCTTCGCGTGAGACCTCCACGCGACCCTCTGCAAATAAACAGATAAGAAGAGGAAAAAAGTCAATAAAAAATTAAGTACATTGTACAAAACGTACGTAATACAATACAAAATGAATGACATGAAGAGCTAAACAAAAAAAAAAAAACATAAATTTGCATTAATGCATTTTTATTACCACCACAGACATGTCGGAGCTTTTGTGCATACCAACCCAGTGGGAATTAGGAGCACGTAATAATACCTTATTAGCAACTTACTCTTCACCTGGCAGTCATTACCATTTCCCTGCCGAACGTCCCTTACTTTTACAAAGGCATGGCCGCCTTATGTAAGTAGGAATTTAAAATGTACATTTGCTATCAAACATACTTCTGAGTCGCTTTACAAAGTAAGTTACGTGTAATGCAGAGCAGTCGCTCGGAGTAGTTCGGTGCTTGGAAATAACTTCGGCTGCACGTTATTTTGCAACTGACAACGTAATGTGTCGCCGGAGGTGTTCATTTTGTGCTTTACTAGTAGATTACGCTGGTCATGATGACAATTTTGGTACTAAAAACTGAAAGAAAATATGGCTTACCTCGTAAGGTGCTTACCTATTTTCCCAGTGGGAACAGCTGGAGCACAGATGTAGGTAATTAACATGTACATATACATATATATATGTATGTATATATGTATATAATATTATATTTGTAATGTATGTACTTATACATCCAAATAGGTTACATTGTCTGTTTGATATTTTTGAGTTTATTAGCTTTTGAGCTTTTATGCCGTTTGAAGAATGAAACCAACTACTATCTAACAATTTGTATGTTACCTTAATATAAGAAGGCCCTAACTATTTTTCTTTCAAAATTCAGCTTTGTACAAAGGTCGGTGGATTACTCACTAAAGACCTAATAGAATTTAAAAACCAGTACCATATCAAAACTTTGTTTCAGTGTTTATTAAAACCCAGGGGGTAGATTCTGTAACCAGTTAGCGACAATTTTCGGATCGCTATCACACTTGTTTGACGCATGATATGAATGTTTTTGCATCAAAAAGTGCGTTATCGATTCGGAAATCGTCGCTAACTGGTTTCAGAATCTACCCCCAGAACTTTGAGAAAATTCCGAACTTAAGAACTTTAGTTTTTATAAAGTTTTCTAAGTACTAGTACTAGATTATCACTAAATTTAGCAATTTGCTATGGCATAATCCAGTTTATTGTAGCATTATAATCAACATTCAGATATGTATTTAAAAATTAGGGAGGCCATTATTTATTTCAGTGATTTTTAGTAACTATCCAGTCGTGAAAATTGTATTTCTTGGAGACAGAAAATCAACGTGGTACCCTATTGCGAGGGAAATCAGCGAGAATGTACTACACGTCATACATATATGTGGCGTTTGACTTACTGCCCACTTAATAACATATTCGCAAAAATATTAAATTTTTCTGCAGATCCCGAAATTAAGACTGTCAGAAACCGAAGTTACCAGTAACTCCGCTCTACATGGTAGGGCATCAGCTCTGCATCAAGCGGTGTCAAGGCTAGTAGACGATTATTTTGTGGTCGGTTCGAGGTAAAGAGGACTTTGAGGCAGGGCTACCTCGGGTCTTGAACCTAACCGCCACCTTTTTTGTGCTTTAAACCGAACCACGAACCAACCCGTTTTTATTTTGAAATACTAAAACCGAACCGAAAACCACTCAAAAACATGGTTCGGTTCAAGTCAAAGTTAAAATCCACTTCGGCATTTTTCAAGTGTTTTAGCCAGGGGCCGAACATAACAGTTATTGATGAAAACTGTCCTTGAAAAATTCACTTTGAAGGAAATGTTCTACAACTAAGTGATAAATACCAATCGATTTCTGTTTTCACCGAGAATCAAATTTGAAAATAAATTTTTATTTGTAATTTTTATGCAAAATTAAAAAAAAGTAACAATTACTTTATAAATCTAAAATAACATATATTTTTGATTTTTATCTAAATAATCTGTAAATAAAAGTTATTTTTGATTTTTATATTATATGTGTTAGATAACGGTTATTGAAGAGTTTTATTTATAAATGTCATCAATAAAAATCAGACACCGACTTTTATTTTTTAAGTCATACCTATAAAAGTTATTCTAATTTTTCGCAGTTAAGGAGTTGGAGAACAAAAGTTTACTACGACTTATACAAATGACTTTTATAAGTATGATTTTTAAAATAAAAGTCAGTGAATGATTTAAATTGATTTTTTTAATAAAAGTTGTAACTGTTACGGCTCCTGGTTATTATAAAATTGCTTAAATGTATTTGGGTGATGAGAACTCTGTGAGCTGGCCCACGAAGTTGAGAACCTATCGAAAGTGGGATTTTCAACCCTACGGAAAGATTTTGAGCATCAATACATAATGCTAAGCATGCAGTTTTTGTCTACTTGATTAGACTTACGGCTTGTTGAAACCTTAAAAAAGTTTATTCAGATAATAATTTTACTTTGAAAATTATTTATATAATTTAATACTAAACAATTAAGTAATAATGCCATCTAACTTCACATCTTAAATCATAAATAACCTAAATGTGTGAAAATATATATTTTTTTTTTCAAAAACTTATATATTGGATATTAAATTTTTTCGAATATCGCCACAATATTTTACCTTAGTGCACTGCTTCACCTTTAAAAAGCTTTTTAATTTTTTTTTTACTCGGGTTAACCCTCGCGGAGATATTAAAAATTTCGGCTATGCGGTTGAAACTACCATATTAGTTCCGCCATTTTGAATTCGCATTGTTGTTATTTTGTGATATTGTGATCATATTTGCATACAAATTTTCGATTTATAAAGCATACTTTATTTTTTATGAATTTGCGTGTAAGTATTTAAAAAATTTAATCATTCGAATCGAACCGAACCGCGGTCCACAGTCATGAACCGGTTTTTGTACTGGTACAAGTTTTTTCTAAGTGGTTCGAACCACTCAACCCAAACGAAGGCTCTCTTATATCAACAAAACGTTGCTTATTTAGTGAGCGGTAAATTTCTAGGTACACGTCATAACTTGATCCAGATTTTCTTGAACCTGGAGTACGAACAATGTGCTCGCTTGCGATTCTAGCAAGACGGAATTCGTTTTGTTGACTGGGAATATTCCTTGGCATTGGTGGCATTCACCTAGCGCTTTACGATAGCTCCGAGTACTATACTGCGGCGGGAGCTGCAATTGGGGAGCAATCGGGCCTCTCTCCTAAGGTAATTTTCTGGTTTTGTGAAACCATACTCCCACATCCCATAATGTTTTTAGAATCCTCGTCTGCTGGAATGAACTTGAGAAGAGCGTGCTAGTTTACCCTTATTGCAATAAGGGGCTCACTTAGAACCATTTCCACTTTGGCTTTTAACGTCACGCATCTATTAAGGAAGCAGTCGTTTGCCTGCTATAAGGCGCTATGGCGGTAAGGGAGGTTAATATCTACACAGACAGCCAGGCGGCAATCAGAGCCCTGGGCTCACTTACCGTACGCTCGAAGCTTGTTGGGAAATGACTTAATTCGCTTGAAATACCGTTTGAATACTATTTTTTCAGACTTGTCTGGGTGCCATGTCAGAAGTGATATCGCTGCAAACTGCGCGGCTGATAAACTGGCCAGAGGCGGCATCCTTGATGAATTATCGCCAAGGAAGAGGTGGTGGGAGTTCCCTTGACTACTTGTGGACTTCTCTTAGGAAGATGGGCTTGGAGTAAACTCAGCGAACGCTGGAGTAAAACCGAGGCACGTGCCACGGCGAGGTATTTCTGTCCGAGGGTGAACAGGGGGCGGTCTAGGGATCTCCGTAGGCTCGTGAAGCCGGATCTTTCTGGAAATTTTCCTTTCGGGGTTCATGCAGTGATATTAAATATCTTATCGGACCCCTCGGTCGCAGCTGCATGAAGGATGACGAGGTGGAGTCATCTCAACATTTCCTCCTGGACTGCACGGCTTTAACTATATTGCGGCGTAGGCAGTTGGGTTCATATACTCTGGCAAGTCTGAAGGAGCTCTATGCCCATGAACAGAGAGGCTTTGTGTCAGCGTAGCGAACGCTGGGCTAAAACTAGGGAATACGTTACTGCAAGGTCTTTTAGGCCGAGGATAGACTGGTCAAGGGATCTCCCTTATGATCACAAAGCCGCAACTCTCCATTTTATTAGGTGAATGGACAGTGAGATTGTAAGTAATGCGGTGGGTATAAATATCACACCGGATCTACACCGTCGCAGCTGATAAGAGGACGATGAGGTGGAAACATCTTTGAGGCTGCGCAGAACTTTTAAGTGGAGGTCTCCGGCACTGACATCTGCTGCCTGCAAACTTCTTTTCGAACGCAAAACATTTTCCGCTTCTCTCTTCACTCTTCGTAGTGGTATCACGAAGGTCCTAAGGGAGTGTTTGCGATTGCCGTTTGCGATCACCGTTTGGTAGCTTCACAGTTTTTTATATTTGTTGGTATATATTGCTATGTTAGAGCATGTTTCATGCAGGAATGTATCTAGATATTCTACCGTACTTATTTGAATAATTTTGCAAGAGGTTTGCTAGGCTTTGTGGCTTAATGGTTTTTCGTTTTATGTATCAAATGTGGACTAGTGAAGATAGGTCTGTTAAGTTTTTTTCGTCTTACATGTAAATAATAAGAACGATATGCTGACTTCGGGATGACTTCAATGTGGCCTCCGGTAAGTACTTCGACTGAACTACCTATTTCTCGGCAGTAGTCGTCTTTGAAAGGAAAGAGCTTTTGTTCGAATAATTTCAGAGCTATAAATATCCTTGAGTACCAAAGTCCGTCAAAATATATGCAAGTACAAAATGTATCTATATCTATACATATGTACATATATACATATGCACATAAAATGTAGATATGTATAAAATCATATACGTAAATAGTTATGTATGCAATTAAGACTCAATTTAAAATGACTTAATAGTGCCACCAATGAAGTAATACAAATAACGAGTCATCGAAGGAAATGATTGCAAAATGCAATTTTA